AAATATAAACTTTCTGGTTACATTGGGTTCCTAAAGTTTATGACTTTTAATTTAGATTTCATGTGTATAACTTATTTGATTTGAAAAGATTGTTTGCTCTGTCTGATACAAACTGCCATTCCCACAAGGAAAAACAAGATGTAAAATTTCCAGGACATAACATGGTTTACTAATTTTTCTAAAATTGCATCATCCAAATGAGGTTTTCTTTATTTCATATACAAATTTTTCATTTTGAAGTTAGTGAATTCTTTTTCTCATGAAAAGTTGTTTTAGGAAACTCAGGAAATAAAGTGTTTTTTTCTTTTAAAATAATTTTTAACTGAAATACAAACAGCTGTGGTTTTTATAGTGCTGTAGAACAATTCCCCAATTAAAGAAGGCTTTTTTTCTTTGTGAAAAGTGTTATTCATATTCATGTCATTTATATTTATAAATGAACTGTAAAGAGAAATTTTTATACTGTTGTGATTAGCATTATTTCATTATGGATACTTCTAAAGCACTGTTCAACTTTATTCCTGTTGCTTAAATTGCCTACTTGATCCAAAACAAAAAATTTCTTACTATACTTACTCATCAAAGAGAATATATTTTTATTGAAAGAGATATGTACATTGTTTAGATAATGTACATTGCTTGGGAAACATTTAAATACGTTTTCAGATACCTTTAATTTTTTACACTTTAAAGTATAGAAATACTATTTTCTGGCCACTGTTCTGGGGTTGGGCATACAAAAATAAATAAAATAATGGTTCTTGCAATTGAGAAACTTACAGTTGGGTGAAAGAGTCATATGTATAGGCAGATACCTATAGTAAAGTTTTAAGAACTATCGCTGAAGTTCATCCAAATTGCTAAGGGAGCACACATGGGAGAATGATTAATTTAGCCTTTGGAGGAAAGGAAAGGTAAAAGAACACTCTGTTGTTTCCTTTATAAAATCAAGCAAGATCTTTCAGGTGTTGACTGATGATTCTAATATTTTACTGCTTGAAATTAGACATGCTTCCTTCTGGGATTTTCTTTTTCTTTTGCATAAATCTTTTGTTTGCAGTGCATTACCTTTTGGTTCTAACAATTAATATTAGAAAAATTGGTGGGTGATTGATTCTGTAAGAAAGATGAATGCAAGTGTCAGGATTTGAATTTATGAAGGTTCTTTTGTCCTTAGTCATGGAGCACCAGGATGTGATTATGTAATTTCTACAAGGGAACTTCAGGTATTTGTTTGTTTGTTTGTTTTAAAGCTTCAGAGAGAGAGGTCACCATCATTTGAGCTGGGCTTTGAAAGATAAAGAAAAATAGAATTTTTCCAATTAGGGAAAAGGCATTCTAGGAAAAGGGAAAGTCTGAGGATAGGTGACTCCAAGAGAGAGTTAGAAATTGAGGATGACTCAAGAGTATTCTAGTATGGGGGATAGGGTAAATGATGACACTATTAACTAAGGAGGAAATATAGAAGTATAATTTGGGGCTAGAATATGCTCTCTGTTTTGGGCATGTTAATTTGGGGAGTCTTTGAGAATTTCCTTAATTGATTTGTTTTTCTTCTTTCCACTAAAATTTATTAATCACTTATGCGCCCATGTGTCAAGAAACCAGGCATAAGAAATAATCTGTTCTCAAAATGCTTATACTCTTGGAAAGAGAGACAATTCAATAATTATAATACATACTTAAAACTGCTGTCATGGAAACAATCACAGGTTGTGATAAGGAGCTTGGGAGTTTTGATCTGACTGAAGAGGGAATACGGAGGAGAGGGGAGGAGTGACAAGAAAGGATTCCTGTGAGGTTGCCTCATGGGATTCAAGTGTTCTTTGGAAGTATGAGTTAACAGATGGTGGGAAGGTGGAAAGAGAGGGAAACATTTCAAGCAGGAATATTTGCTCATACGATGCCTTGGGAGTGTTAGGAAATAACCTGTGTCTAGAGCTCTGCTTGTGGTTGAGTTTAATGGATAAGAACTATTAAGTGGGGATTGGTAGGGTCCTGCAGATCATGTGTGTCGTGATTTTTATGTTGAAGACAGTCATGGTGGTAGTGTTGGGAAGCTAGTAAAGGATTTTAAGTAAGGGAATGACTTGACTGGATGAGATGCCCAGCAACTAGTTAGAATTATGTGCTCGAATCTCAGAAAAAGCAGTCGGGGTTAGAGTGTAAATTTAACCAGGGTCCCAGTAATGGATAAAAAGTGCTTCCTGCTTAGTTCTGGAGGCAGACAGGTAAATAAAAATGATGTGACAGCATGCTAAGTGCTGTAGTAGGAGGTACTATGGATTGAGTATGGGGAGGAGGAAGTGGTTTGGGATTATGCATTTAAGAGTCATAGGTATATGGGTGGTATTTGCAATTGAGAATACTGATGAGATTTTCTAAGGAAATAATTTAAAGACAGAGATGAAAGAATTGAAGGTAGAATTCCAGAAAAAAAGCAACCTTCATAGAATAATGGTTAGAGAAGAATTATCTAAAGCTATAATTTTAGCACTATGGATTACAATTTAGTAGGTTACAAAACCAGTAATAGTGGATGGGAAATTAATATGGTTGGCTATAGACATAATTTTAAAAACATAGATTAGGAAAGAATAGAAAAATATCAGGGTATATATAGTAAAGGTAATTACTGTTTTGTGAGATTTTGCTCAGATGTGTGTTTGTGCATGTGTGTATTGAGTACAGTGTAAGTGCATTTCTTACGAATTGTAATCACCAACTTTTGAAAAACAATAAAGGAGACTCTGAAAGAGCAGTTGGAACAATTAAATCACTTTTATTCTTCACTACTCTGATGACAAGGAAAAGAAATGGACCCAGTGAAAGTGCAATGGGAAGATTTTCTCTTTATGGTGCAAGTGGTCTTTCTCTAGGCCACCTTTACTGTATCAGTTACGTAGGAAGGAAAATAGAAAGAAATAAGGGAAAAGGACTTGCAAATGCTGAAATCAAAGACAGAGAGGGAGAGGAAGAGAGAGAGAGAGAGAGAGAGAGAGAGTATGAATGAGAAATATGGATGAGAGAGAATAAACCCCATTGGAAGGCTGACTCTTAGCCTAACCCAAGTATGTGATGGCTAAAACTCATTTCCCTTGCACCATGGCCCAACAAAGCCCCATGGATTTATCCTGCCATATCAACTCTGTTCCATACTAGGGATGAAGCCAGGGAGAAACCTGGGAAGATACAAAACTACCTCTAATTAAAATTGTGATTTTGTAATATAAGTAATAGAAGTTTGAGAGTTTAAGTATGGGTCAAGAACTTTAAATGCATGATCTTACCAAGTAAGTTAATATTTGTAAAGCCTTAGAGCAATGTCTTGCACATAGTAAGCACTCGGTAAGTATTAGCTATTATTATTCAATTACTAATTAGGGAATAGTTACTAAATATCACCATTTTACTAGCAAGGAGATTGAGGCATAATAAATAAAGTTAAGTAACTTGCTCAAGATCACATAATTAGAAAGAAATGGAATGGTTTTTGAGTTGGAGGTGAGAGACTGATTAGTACAGGTATATGATGAATTATATGATGATTGGTGCTTGAAATATGGAAAAGATGGACCGTAAGTAAAAGACATTATGAAGGAAAAAGTCCCTTTAGCTTGATGACTGGTTGGATTTGAAGTAAAAAAGATAAGTAAGATTTTAAGTTGGTTGACTGGGAAAAGGGTAAATAGGATGTAAGAGAATGAGGAAGGAAACTTTTTTTGGTAGGAAATGATGACAAATTCCATTTAATCATGGTGAATTTTATAGTAGATAGTCAAGTGAAGTGATGAGCCAGGGACTCCAAAACTAAACTTAGAGATACTCAGGCATTATCACATAAAGTTGCTGGTAGAAGCTGTAGGAGTGTTTGAGATCTCCAAGGATGACAGATATTTCTTGGCCACAAAAAATCTGGAGATTCAAAGTAAGGTCATGATAATAGCCCCCACACAAAATTTCTACAGCCTCGACCACATTTGCTTTGTAGAAAATCCACAAGTAGTTCCAGAAATCTTTAAAAAAAGAGTATGTCACCACTGCGCCAGGGACTGGCTGTTGTCTGGCATCCACTGCTTTCCTGGGTCCCTCCTGGGTTGCCGTGGCTATGTCTCCTCTTGCTGCCACCACCTGCAAAGGCGAAGAGCTGTACTTATGGTTTGGTACTTTTCCCACCACCGCAGAAATTGCTGTTTCCCCTCATGACCTTCTCAGAGGCCTTGGAGAGTCACTGGTGAAAATATTCTCCTAGATTTTCTTACTCTTGTGTCCCTCACTCCCACCTCAGGTATGTTGACTTCATAGTTTCTCGATCGATTTTTTTTTTTTCTGCCTAGATGCTTTCTGACCTTCAGGCGAATTCTTACCCAAAATGTTTCTTAGTTCCTGCCCCATCCATCCTCAGGCATACCTAGACTTGTCTGAATCCTAGGGTGAAGGCTTCTTATTAGGCTTAAACTGGGACCAGGACCCTTGATGCATGCTCTTCGGAGAAAAGAGAGGTCAAAGTAGGAAATTCCCACTTTCCAAGATTGTCCCATCACTGTTTCTTCTGGTCCCTTCACTTCTTCATATGGTTGCTTTACTGGTTGATTTGAGATTATTTCTTTTTTTCCCCCAGATGGGACAATGCTGTGTATTACTGTGGAGTTAGAGCTTGTCTGAATATTCTGTTGGGAGGTTTGATTCACTTCGCCTCTTAATTCTTCTTAAAGCTTTCCAGGTCTCTTTATTGGAGTTTAGTAAAGACTTGAATATCTAACACATTTTCCTTTCAAATAAGTATTGATATTATCTTTTTTTTCCCTGGTTCACCTGTGAAGAATCGTAATGAGCCTTTTTGAAAATTCATCATTTGCAGTTATTTTAGAACAGCAATTTATTGAAAGCTACTATATTAGAAATGTTTTATTGCACTGTGCTATAGCTATGAAGTGCAGGGAACCATGAAGATTGAAAAATACAAATGATAGATGTGTCTCTTTCTTCTTATTTTTTAGCCATCTTTAAATCCTGGGGGGAGCCAGTCATCTGATGTGGTACTTTTGAACCACTGGAAAGTGAGGAACTTTGAAGTACAACGTGGTGACATTGTGTCATTAGTGTAAGTAAATCAGAAGTTACAATACTTGTATAATAGATTATTTATAAAAATCTGAGTTAACTAGTAATTTAATGTTTATACCATATTGTCAATTATTAAATTAATAGGTCCTTTTAAATTTTAATGCATTTAAAAATCAATTTTAAAATGTGACAGTGCTATTAAAAAGGATTTTTTTATACTTAAAATATGTCAGTTGATTGACATACTTGAATTTGGCAAAATGTGGTTAATGAAATGTTGACTAGAAATTATTGTACTGATGATCTAGAGTACATTTATTTGGTATTTGGGTTATTTTGAAATTTTGCATCTTGGAAGCCACTATCATATTACTCTCATGGTTAATGAGTTTGTGTAGCTACAAAATATTTCCAGAAGATGATAATTGTGACATGAAATTCAGTGACAATTGTTTTTTATGAGTAATTTAACTGAAAAGAACGAAGTTTGGAAGACTAGTAGACTGGAGGCTTTTGTTTGGGGCCAAAAGGTGGCACTGTTTCTCTGTTAAAGTATTATGACTGGTCAGGAACAAAAATTTCATTCTAATCTTAATATAGAAAAGGAATGTCAAAGTGTACATAACTGACAAAATGAAATAATACATAGTCCAAGTACATGCTTCAGTGGTTTAGATTTGAGATTTGTTTGTTTATTTTAAAAGTAGATTCACACTGAGAAGACTGCAACAGAACTTGCCTAATTTCTACTGTTTATAAAAATGTTTTAAAATGATTTCCTGTTATGCTGGTTAGTGCATTGGGGTAGCAATTAATGTAGCAGTACTATCATTTGTTTTAATAGTAAAATCCTACTGTTTGGTGAAGACTTCCAACTTATATTTCTGATTCTTGAGTTGAAATGATTCTTTCTTGTTGGGAGATAATTTATAATCATTTGGTAAAAGCAAAATGTTATCTACTTGCTCATACTTACCTTTGGCCAGTGCTTTGTGGAAATAGGTATTTTGTAAATGTGTCTCTATCAAGCCTGTTCTACCAAGATTTATTTGAAAACGTATTAACTAAATCTGGTTAGTAACTAATGAAATAAATAAAATTGAATGGAGTTTTGTTTGGCAGAGCCCCAAGGATGAGGATTAAATGCTTCTCATGTTCTTAAGTGCTTTCTTTAATATTAACCTACTCTCTGGAGTATACTTTTACTTTGTCATTCAGGGTACTGTTTCTGCAACCTCTTTAACAACCTTTCCATGCTGGATTAGCCTGTTGTGTACTCATTATTCTTTTGCCTTTGGTTTGACAAGGTTATATCCTCACTTAGTCGGTGATGGAGAGGATACTCACCCAAGTGAAAGAGGTCACACTGTAAGCAGACAATTGTGCAGTGTTTTTTTTTCCCCATGAGAAACATGCTGACTATCTGTAACCAAATGAATTTGAATAGGTAATTGGAAAAAAAAAGGCTCCTTGAAATTCAGGGTTGTACAAGTCCATAAAAGTACCCTAGCATATCACAGACTATGTAAAAAAGAGAATGCTATTCTTTTCTGTAAATATTTAAATGATTGGTATTTATTATATAAATTAATTTCAAAAACATTATATTCAAATTGAGGTTGATAAATTATGGCTACTTCGGCTGATCTGTATTTTTAATGAGTTAATTATGTGCTATATCTCTGTCGTGTACAAATAACAGATTTTGTTTCATAATGCTTGTTGCTAGCAGGAGCTATTTACATATAAGAATGCTTAGTGATTGGTATCATATAACAACAAATAATCATTAAGCAGTAATTGTTGCTTTCTGTTGAGGAACAAAAAGTCATACTAAAATCGTCTTTAGCATGATGTAATACAGTGAAAGACACAGTTTAAAGTCCCTTTTTAGTTTTATGAGCAAAAATGCTTTCTAGACACATGTCCTTACATTAGAATATCCTATCTATGTAAGATATGTGTGACAAATACAGAAATGCATGACTAAATTTTGAATTTATGGCTAAATATAAAATATATGATACAAATTATTGTTATTAATACACTTCACTGATACATAAGTAATCTTTGGAAATAAGGTAGTATGACAGTTTATATTTTAAATTATCCTGGGACAGTGTTTTATGTATTCAGAGTATGTGGAAGTGCAGCATTTCTACTATAATATTATCTGTGCATTTCTGGAAAACTTCGTTGCAAATTCATACTTAAATTACTGGGCTTATGCATCTTTGTAATCAGAGCACTAATGAAAAGAATAACACTTCCAGTAAAAATGATAGCACCATTTAAAAGATACATGAACTTTCTAATAAATAAACACTACAGTAAATGTTGGGTTTTACTTAAGAAAGATGAAGGTAGCTTGATGGAAGGTGATCTAAGGAAGGGTTGAGGTTGTCTGTGTTTATAAGGGCAAGTGGCATTATCATCAGAGGTTACAAGTAGAGAAGAGATTACAAGCTTTGTAAAAATGTACTGATCCCAGAGGTGTATGCTTGGCTCATTGTTTTGTGTTACTTTGTTTTATTTACTTATTTATAACTTTACTTTTTTTTACGATAAAGATCCAGGTTAACCTTGCAACAGGCACTTCTAAGAGAAAGGTTGAATGTTTAATACTGATTCCTTCCTAGCTTGCTGCCATTAGTGTACTTAGCCTTCAGTTGCTCTTATTAATGAAATAAACCATTAATGATCTGGGAAGAAAATCAGATGTGAACCAATGCAGCTTCTGCTTTATACTGAAATTGTTTCTCTATTTAGAAGTTGCGTATGAACTAATTTGTGTTACAGGAACACAAGATGTAGCAGAGCAGATTGTCTCTTCTACTGCAAGAAATTTTGTTCACAGCCTAGTGACCAAGGCCATTTCCTAAAGCAAAGAAGATTTGGGTGGGGGAGGGGTGTATATTGGAATACGCTTCTTTGCATCTCTTCCTTATCTTTTCCTGTCACTTTCTGTAAAAGGTTGGTGGTATCAGTGGAGCTATCTGTTAAGCACGTTATTCAGTAATGTTGTGACAAGAGGTGTATTTATTTAATAGCATTACTGGTCACACAAAACATTATTTGGTGTCATCAAGTCCTCAATATTACTGAGTGTATCTGCAAACTAATAATGGTGATTAAGGTAGATTGTCCATACTTTGGAATTGACCTTTCATTAGCCTGTGTGATGGCCTTATTACCATAGACTTAACATAAGTAGCACTATTTTCTCCTGATACAGCAATAAACAGTTCCATTGGGACAGAAGTTTCTTCATAATAAAGTTTCAAATTATCACATGTAAAAGTGTTTTAACTTTTGGTTTTGAAATATTATTATTAGACTTAAAGACAAGTTGTAAAAATAGGATAGAGAGTTCCCATATATCACCTAATTTTTTTTCCAGCTTTATTAAGGTAAAATAGACAAAATGGTTTTTTTTGTCAATGGTTAGTTTTTTTTCTCCTTTTTCAGAAAAATTGTAAGATATATTAAGTATACACTGGGATGAATTGATATATGTATGCATTCTGAAAAAGGATTCCCCTCCTCAAATTAATTAACCATGACCTATTTACCTTTTTTGTGTGTGAACATTTAAGTCCTACTACTCTCTTAGCCAATTTCAATTATATAATACAGTGTTATTAACTATCACCACCACGTTATGCATTAGCTCCTCAGACCTTATTCATCTTATAACCCCCTAATATTAAAATTGCATACAACCGTAGTACAATTATGGAGATCTGGAAACTGACATTGATACAATACTGTTAACTAATCTACAGACCTTATTTGAATTTCATCTTTTCCCACTAATGTACTCTTTCTAGACCAGGATCCTACCTAGGATCCTATGTTTCAGTTTTAATTTTCATGTCTCTCTAGACTCTTCTAATCTTTGATAGTTCTTTGGTCATTCTTTGTCTCCTTTGACCTTGACACTTTGAAGCATTCTGGCCAGTTATGTTGCAGAATAGTCCTTTTTAGTGTTTGAGGGTCAGTCTTTCTCCAAATGGGGAAGCACTGCTGTTGCTGGCAGTTGCTGGGGAAGCTGTGGCAGTGGTAACAGTTGGGGAGGTGGATGAGACAGGGACGAGGAGAAGAAAATTTTCAGGCACAGGTCTTTTTAACTTTTCAGGACGACATATTTGGGTCATGACTAAGAGGTTCCATGGCTTCTAGAAGTCCACACAGTCAAGTTTATAGATGCCAGGAAGCAAGGAGGGAGAGCTTTATGAGGGAAAAGGCTATAGTTTACAGTAGGGATAGAAGGGAAGGAACTAAGGCTAGGTCACAGATTATACTATATTGAGTCAGCATTCAGTTCTTGAGCAGGTTAGGGTGAGGGAATTCTCATTTAACCAGCACCCCTGCATGTCAGGCATTGCGCTAAGTGCTTTGTATATGTCATTTTAATTCTCATAACTTTATCTGGAGATTGGTATTATTTTATTTTTGTGGGTGGTAGACATTTTATTTATTTCTCCATTTATTTTTTGTTGAGGTAACATTGGTTTATAATATTATATGTTTCATAGGTACAACATTATATTTCTACTTCTGTATACACTAAGTCTTGCGGAGATAGTTATTTTTAACGTGATGAAACTGAAATTTATCAAGGAAGTGGCAAGTAAGTGGCAGAGCCAGAATCTGAATCTAGGTCCATTTGACTACAAACATCTATTGTCTGATACAGTAGATGTATTGAGCACTTGAAATGTGGCTACTGCCGCTTGTTAAATTGATAATATTTTGGATATATTCAGTCAAATAAAATATACTATTAAAATTAATTTCACCTATTTATTTTTCCTTTTTTAATGTGGATAGTAGAAAATTTGAACTAACCTCTGTGACACATACTGCATTTCAATTGGACAAATGCCGTGTATAAACCTTTTTGCATTGTAAACCGCTGCTTTCCTGGAGTGTGTCTCCGGTGAACTAAGATGAGATCTTAAAGCCTGAGGTGGAAAAACACTAGCGTGGTTGGTATGATGCAAAACACTGTGTTGGTGGGAGTGTTGGGGTGAC